CCCCAAAACCCCAAAACCCCAAAACCCCAAAACCCCAAAACCCCAAAACCCCTCTCTATTTACAATATCTTGGGAGAATAAAATATATTTAATTCCTGCAAAAATGGAAATTCCCTTTTGCAACAATGAAATCTGAGGGTCTCGGTCAGAATACTATCTGCCATATTATGACATCTACAAATGCTCCACCCATCTTGAAAATAGAGACATTGAGGAGGGATTTATCAAGCTAGAAACCCATGAGCTTACAGATCACACTCTGAAATGCGTTGAAGTGGCTCTGCACAAGTTCTTAGAGTACTACAAAACTACTAATAACAACAGAAAGATTGAGGCCCACCAAGAATTAGTAGATGCTTATCAGGCCAAAGTTAGCACTCTCAGAACCCAACTGGAAGGACATGTACTACAAAAGGAGTATTTTAAATACGTTGATATCCAGAATGAGGCTCAAGATCTGTATGATGACCTGAAGGTTGAAGACTTGTTTAGAAAGTACACTACTGATAAGTACATCTCTGGAGTGTATCATGATACTGATCCAACTACATTCGAAGATTCTTCCTTGGAAAAACAGAGATGTGAGAAGGTTTTTGAGGAAAAATTTGAGTATAAGAAAAAAGAAATTGAGTGTGAAACAAATAAGATAGTAGAGGATTGGGAACAGAAGGTAAATTTTATCGGGAGTTTTCCTTTAATGGTATTTAATAAGCTTCTGATTAGGTACATAAAGAGTTGATTAGGATTAATAAGAAGTTTTTGGAATGATTCTTATAAAGCTTGACTTATTCAGAACTACTCTTTGTCGTTTTTAATAATTTCTACTTCTTTTTAAATAAAAACAAAGGAAAATTTTATTTTGAATAATTAAAATTTATCATCTTCCAAAACCCCAATTTCACAAATTCTTCTCATCTACCCAAAATCCCTCAACACCACGCCCCTCATCTCTCCTACCTCCTCTAGACCCATTCAGCCACCTCCGAAATCACCCTCATAACCCCCCATCTCGACGACCCCTCCCAGCACTTCGCCACTCTAAAAACCCATTTACTCTTCACGCACAAATCTGAGCTTGAAGATCTCCAAAAAGCCCAAGAAGCCAGTCTTCACAGCTTGGCTAAAAGTCTTGAACTAGACTGTGCCCAACAAGTCAGTAGCCCAGCACAAAGAAGAGATGGAAGAAGAACTAGCCAGAGTCGAGCAACAGCTTGAAGAGGTCTTACAAAAAGGAAGCGATGTAGAGAAAGAGCAAAAGAGAATACTTGAGAGGTATGACCAGGCTAAGCAATTTATAATCTCTTCTTTGAATGTATCAGAGTACTCAGATTTTAACTACTTCTATCAATTAATCAACAACTACTTTAATGAAGAATATCAAGCGATTGGACCCAAATCTAAACTATCACTGAAGCTAAACAACCCTAATCACTTAGAGCTTATCAAACTACTAAACAAGAGGATGCCGGATGTTGACAGTCTCAATCTCCGATATATTCCTTATGAATGCGAGGAAGCCAAGACTTTTTTGAAGAAATCTTTCCCTCGTCAAGTAAAATGCTTCGACTTCAACTCATTATCTGAGCTTAACAATCCATTGGATTTTTACTTAGATGAACTAGTACAAGTGAGCCAGAGAGTGACTAACAAGGTTGTGATTAATAGGTTTAACATCAGTCAGGATAACCTAGTCACTCTGTTCAATGCTAATGTAGACAAGAAGTTGTTTGGATTTTATAATTGAAAGCTAGAGCTTTCTTCAGTCCCTTCTTTCTCAGGGAAGCTTAAGGGTAGTTCGATAGAATGCTTAGACTTGTATGGATGTGGCCACACAGCCTATGGAGATTGGGATCTCAATGAGTCTTACTTTGGCAATCTGATGAGAGGTCTAGCTCAAGAGGAAGACTTTGTTAAAAGCTTGAAGAAAATCAAGCTTGAGAATTGAGGAATGAATAAATCTGAGATAAAATCTGTCCTCAAAGAATGTGGGTTTGATCTTGTACAACTAGTTTCTTGATAATAGCTCTTTGATATAACAAATTGCACATAAAATTAAAAAATCCAATACTAAATCTCATCCCTTTCAATCCCTCAGAGCCTAACCGGGGTTTTGGGGTTTTGGGGTTTTGGGG